CTAAAGTTGACATGACCTAATCTTACATGCCAAAGCATAGATTTATCAACATTAGAAGTAGAAGATACAAATGCGGAATTTTGAACAGGTAATAATTTGTCAATAATATTTAAACGAAACATTCTATTATTTAAATATCCAAAGCCAATAAACATTCCACCCTTAGACAAAACAAACTTATCCGACTCAATAACTTGTTTATAACCAGCAGAATTCAAACAACTATAACTAACAAGATTCTTGCGAATCTTGGGAACAAACAAAATATCAAATAACTTAATTGTCTTTCTAGAAGTAAATTCAAGACACACGACACCTAAAACACAAATAGGAATTAAAGAATCGTCTCCCATTTTCAGTACCAACCCATCTTCAAGCGGAGTTAATGTTTCAAACATCCGTTTATCCTTGCATACATGGTTCGTTGCTCCGGAGTCGATCCACCAAGCAACATCATCATCCTGCACATAGAATGATTCAGGGATAAATGAAACATAATAAACATAATTCTGATTGAATTATCAAAGTTAGTCAAAAACTGACCTCCTTTAACTTGGGCCGAAGACTCGTTCACTTTCCCATTGGCTCCACTGTTTCCAGCACCATTGTTGCCCAAATTCACACGACAATCATGCTTGCAATGCCCAACTTGATTGCACCTCCAACACACAAGAACCTTTCTCTTTTTGTTGGAGTTGCTTGGGACATGTTCCTGCTTACGTTTGCCATGTCCTTTGTGGTTCTGGTTCCTTGGTTTGTTTTCAACCATATGAACCGAGGGTTGTCCAGGTTCAACTTTTCCTTTGGGTTTTTTAGATTTGCCACTTTCCTTCGCACGAAGAGATTCTTCAATACGAATGTGACTAGCAAGTTGAACCAATGACAGTTCCTCCTTTTGATGTTTCAAGTTATGTTTGAAGTCTTTCCAGGACGGAGGCAGTTTGTCAATGATAGTGGACACATCAATGGATTCATCCATATTCATACGGTGCAGTTTAAACTGAATGTATATGCCAAGGAGTTTGTACTGTTCAGTGACAAACCTTCAATCTTCCATCTTATAATTATTGAAGTCACTGACCAAAAACTTCTTGCTAGAAGCATCCTCAGTAATGTATTTCAATTCAAGGGTGTCCCACAACTCCTTGGCACACAAGGCTTCACTATGGATATCAAATAAAGCATTAGACATATCGTTCAGAATGTGACCTTTGCAGATATAGTCATCATTGTCCCACTTCTGTCTCCTTCTGTCTCCTTCTTGTCTCTTCAGCCGTCTCAACAACACCTTCCGCAGGCTCTGCTGGTCTTGGAGTAGTCAGCATGTATGTTGCTTTCAGAGTGGTCAGCATGAAGTGCATCTTTTTCTTCCAATGCCTGAAGTCGACGCCTTCAAACTTCTCCAGCTTGGCAAACTTAGTGGTCATCTCGCGGATTGAGTCACCCATCTCCAGAAACAGGAAATATCAGTTCGAATGTTGGGAATATTAGGGTTTGTGGTGGAGATCTGGATACCGAATTGGATCGTGATATCACTTTCCGAACTGATATTTCTACCCTATGCTTGGGTTACAAGAAATTCAGCCTAGGATAATCCAAGTGGACACTTACGATTCTAGACACAGAAATCGTAAGCCAATATGCTAGAGGATTCTATGGAAGTATGATGAAAAATGAGAGCTTAAGATCGTCTCCCTCTTCTGAAGAGGAAGAACTGTTTATATATTAAACGAGATTAGGGTTTCATTAGGGTTGGGCCGTCATTAGTTGCTTTGGAAGCAAGTACTGTTAATCCGGATTTAATGAGGATTTAGGGTTACCAAAACTAACGAGTTTCGTTAGTTTTACCATAATCACCCTCAAGAAATTGAATTTTCCACTATGTTCCCATATGTAAAATTCGGTGAGGTTTTGGGGCGCTGCCCCTCGACCTCGCTAGGGGCGCTGCCCCTAGACCCCGCCAAAGGGGCGCTGCCCCTTTGGAAACCCCGGACCCCCGACTAGTCGTCGAACCAGCTTCTAATTCGATCTTATACATGTGTGCACTCCGCACAACCCCCGTACATATAATAGAGTACAAATTATGAAGCCCCTTAGCTCACATGTTAGTTCCAGTTACTTAAAATGACATGGTGACACTAAAATCACCAACAGTCTTTACATGACTTCCCACAACTACCTCAAGAGAACCATGAGGATTGATTTGGTAATAATTAGGACAATACTAATTTGGCGAGCACCATATCTACTAGAGATTACAAATATGAAACAACTGATAATGCATTAGTAGGATTTCTAGATTAAGTTTTTATAAGACCGATTTCATTACCTTAGGGAGATATGATTTTTTCCAGTAAAGGCAAAGGACGAGCGGTGTCCATGTGCTTTGACTACTATGAGCTAAATAAGGTGATTGCGAGGAACATATATCAACTATGAATGATCAATGATCGAATTATAAGTTGGTATAACAAAATAACAAGGGTTAAGGGGACTACGCCCCCTTGTAAGGTCCTAGGGGCAGTGCCCTTAGCGGGGTCCATGGGGTAGAGCCCCTTTAGTGGGTGATTATGATAAAATTGATCATTCTTGTTAGTTTTGGAAACCATTGATTATGTCATTAAGTATGTGATCTACTTAACTAATTTAGAAGACGGAAACCCTAATTGTCAAGTTTAAATACCTCTCTTCTATTGAGTCTTCGATATAAGCTCTCTATCTTCAAAACGATCTCAAAATTCTCTAGCACTTTGGCTTACGTTTCTGTACCTAGATTTGCAAGTGTCCCTTTAGAATATCCTAGAGTAAATTTCTTTTAACCCGAACATAGTGTAAAAATATCAATTCGGAAAGCAAACCTACGCAATCTATTGGGAATCCGGTTCTCCACCTTATAAACACTAATATTGTTCATCGATCATAAAAGTCTACTATATCTCTTTGATAATAGGGAATTACATGTGAGGCTAAGAAGTTGGATAGAGTTGTTAAAATACTAAGATTGTTAGATACTTTACCTTCCATGTAAAGCAAATGTTGTAGTAGATATGTTAAGCCAAAAAGAAAATATAGACAAAAAGAAGTTAAATCCTTATGTATAGACGTTGTCTTTACTGTGATAAAAAAAAGACCATAAAATCTAAAGTTAATGAAAAACCGAAAGAATATAATTTAAAAAATAAGCGACCATTGAGGATGATATTTGGGGATTAAAAACCCTTCATAGTATGATTTGTATGCCAAAACATAATAGGATGTTCTCATGGATAGTCTAACAACATGTATTCCATTCACCAGGAAGCACCAAAATGTACCTAATTTTAAAACCATAATTGAAGATATATGATGGGATCTTAATTTGGTGGAGTTTGCTTATAAAATTTACAACCCTAGAATTAAAATGGCTCCATATGAGGAATTATATGGTCATAAGTTTCAAACATCGGCTTGTTGGCTAAAAAGGAGAGAGAGGAAGTAGAACGAGAAATAGATGACACGACATACAATGAAAAAGGTAAACATTATTCGAGAAAAATTAATGGCAATCTAAATCCATCAAAAAGCTATGCGAATTAAAAACGAAAACATGTGACATCTGAAGTACGTGATTGATTCTTTCTAGAAGTCTCTCCGTGGAAAGGGCTCGTTTGATTTAGGAATCAGTATATCCAAATCACATAAAGGTATATCCCCATTTTATGGAACCTTTTACAATGCTGAATAAGATAGAAAACAATAATAATCAAACTTACAAGCTCAAGTTGTCCCATATTTTGAAATCCCTTCCATTTGGAGAATTACAGGTAAGTGATGGTAAATCATTAGTTGAGGAGCCTAACACGCAGTTATAAGGTAAAGTAAATATAAAACGGTTATAGAACATAAACTTGGTTCTCGTAAAATAGGCACACCTAACACCTTGTTTGTGACCAAGCTTTAGCAAATAAAAATGAAATGAGGGGTCGTTATCCTCATTTATTTGTCAATATTTAGATGCCGATGACAAAATCATCATAAATGGATGTAATACATGTAAAATAATGTTACGCATTTTGTGGTTGTATGCTTATTATATTACCACTAATACGATTTCAGTAAAAAGGTATTAAGAGTATGCATTGTATATTGATAATGTTGAAGGTGGGGTTACAAGATTTATGTCCTTATTTAGTAAAAGATTAATGTGATGGGCCTTTATTATGCGTTTGGTACAAGTGCAAGGGCCAAAGTGTGTAAGATGATGGAAGTTAATTAATTGCTTTATTTTATTTAATCAAACGGAAGATAATAGAGTAAACATAAAAGGAGTAAGAAACTTGATTTTGATCTCTTGTTGTTTTGAATGATCTAGAGAATGGGGAGGAAACCATTGAGGTGAATTTTACAATTAATGATGTAGGGATACACTCGATATTGGAAGTCGCGCATTGTATGATCATACCACGCATTTTAAGGATCAAATTCTAACGCTTTTTAGGTATATGATCCACTCTCCAAAGGACCATATTTGGTAGAATTCTCCAATTCTTGATCATGGATGGGATTTGATATTTGGGAAATGAATGGGACTTACCCGTAAATAATGATTTATGAAATGAGGCAGAAAAAGTTACATTGTCCAAAGTAAAAGAACATGGAAAGATACTCTATATATATCACCATATAAACCCTCAACAATGGACACCTAACATCATAATACAACAAAATCCCAATAGAATAAATAGAAGCTCAGCCTCCAGTTTGGCGGGTGTTGTAGGATTTGCAATTCGGGCACTTAACAGCCACAACATGAAATGCCACTTTAGAATTGGTCCCACAGTCATTGCACAATATCCATATCTTCAACAAATTTTTTTTTAAAAAAAAATGAATGCTTAGAAGTAGAAAAAAACTAAAACTAAAAAGGACAAAAAGATGAGATTGTAATGGCATACCAGTTTGTTTTGATAGAATTCAGGCATTGGTGTAGCTGCAACTTCCATGTCAAGTTTTTCCCAAACTTTTGACATATCACAAACCGACTTAAAACATAAAGGGCAAGCATATCTGTTCCAAAAACAATAAAAAAAATAAGTATAATTATCTATTTATTGACTTGAGTTGACAAAATGATTTGAAAGTGTGAATTGGTGTGTTCTAGAATGACTCACTGATAGTGTTGCTGCATTTCCTTTAAACAGTTTTTATGAATGGTATGACCACAAGGCATGACTGTAACATCATCTATCGAATCAAATAGATACTGCAAAGTGAAAATAACAAATATTTAGAAAAATCCCACAAATATTTATGATTTATCCAAGTGTAAAAGGTGAAAAAAATTGATACCTCAAAGCATACAGGGCAATCATGGTGCATTGCTCCTTCAACACACGGGTGACTGTCTCTCAGAAAATTTGAGTAGCAGCATCCTGAATCACACAAAGTCCAACAAATAAGTTCTTAAAGGTTCCAGATAAATCACTATTTTATATTTTATGATTTAGAAATGAGAGAGAGAGAGAGAAGAGAACTTACGACATTTGTCACAGTGAAAAAAGTTCTCTCGCCCACCAATTCTGATCTCAAACAAAAATCCATATACAAGTTAGGAGAGATTCCTTACATTTTGTTATCATACTTTATTTCTCTTATCTTAATAATTAATTCAAAAGTTTCTTGAAAATAATATTAATACCTGCAAATGCCACAACCATCGCAGTGATATTGTTGCTTGGATATCTGCAAAACATTGAGCAAGAATCCTAAATCTAAAAGTAGTAAAGATGCCTCATGAAAATAGGAAGTGAGAAGTGCTTACGTCATCATCAAAAAGCTTGCATGCCCTACAAAAGTAATTTCCCATGCAAACACCACAGTTGACACACATTTGTCGCACCTGAAAAAAAAAAAACAAACCATCAACACATTTAAGGAAAATGCCAAAAAACAAATAAGGAAATTAATAAGTCAATAACAACAATCACCACCTCTTGTTCAGTGCCACAAAGGGTGCATATAACCTGAAAGGGACACAATCACACAACATCATACATATTACATACTTGATGAATTTAACAGATAAAAATCAACATGATGAAGCTAAGCTACCTGTTGGATCTGATGGCGAGGGATTGTGTGTCTCTCTTTTTGATCAACATTAATGTCATTCTGCACAACAATAAAATATTTTTTATGAAGCTACCAGTTGTGTATTTTGTAATTCATTTTTTTTTACCAACCTTTGCCTCATTATGACAATGGCGACAATCAAATATCTCATTACAACAAGGGGCTCTTATCCTGCAACGCCTACGGTAGTGAGAGCATCTGTAAATGTAAAGACACCATAAGAAGCTGATCATGGACACATGTTACAAAGATATTCAACCACAGATAACACCAAAAAGGTTCTAGAAGCAATACCCATAATTAAGAACAGGATGATCAATGTGCTGATTGCATGACTTTGATTCTTTTGCATTGGTGTCTTGGATTGTGGGAAGAGTAGCTGGCACCTCCATGGAGACTCTAATAACAACTACAAGGGTTGAAAGCACCTGCATTCAGGGACACATTAAGCAAAAAAAAATCCCTAATTTTGCACAAGGCACATCTAGTTGTCCATCATCGGGTAAAATCCCAATGATGATGAGGCTTTCTCTCACACTGCAGCACATCAGTTGAAATCAGCAACAACATAATCCAAGCTGCAACAAATAGGTTATATAATAATACAACTACATTTCAGCAGTGAGAAAGTCCAAGCTTCCAGGAAATGAGGACATCCATTCCACAGCATGGTTTCTTGATTCTTGAAGCCCACATCCATTTAATTAAGATACCACTAAAAGGTGGCATAACCTAAGGTAAAAGCAATAGATCACAAAATCAAGTACGTCCTCAAAAGGAAAAAAAGAAAACAAAAAAGACTAGTGAAAGTGATGCACATATCGTGTTAATGGTCCTGCCCATCAAGGACAAGCCTACCTCAACAGCAGTTCTGCACCAAATCTTCTTCAGGAAAAACCATAACAACTTAAAAGTAATGTAATGCCCCCCATACTTTAAGGCTTTTACCAAACATGAACACATGAACTTGACACAGGGAAGAGGATTTGGGAGGGAATGCTTGAGTTAGTAAATAGAGGGAGCTTTGGTGTGGACATAAATTGTTTTTGTTAATTAACAAATTAGAGAGTCTGAGAAGTAAGGACCTAACTATCACTGCCTAATGACACTTAGCATACCAGATTTCAGTTGCAGGTGGTTCTCACTGTGTTAGACCAAATAAAATCATCAATGGGTTAGGAAAACAGCAATAGAAAACAAAAGTATCGCACATCAGACATAGAAGAGGGAGAAACTGTCTCCATGTTTACATGTTCCTACCCCTATATTGGCTGGAAAGTTTGTTGTACAACAGTTTTGTTGTAACCTACTTCTATCACACCAATTTCCATAATCTAATCATAACAGGATCTAATCTTCTATCATCAAGTTAGCTATCTCCGCACACCACATCACCAACCTACTTGAATGCTATTTCGACCCCACTTCACACATCATTCAGTGTAAAACCGAAGACCCTTTTGGATGACAGAATAAAGTAAGTAGGAAAAAAAATCTTAGAAACTAGGCTTGCTAACACACAGCTCAATGGCATACACAAAACAAGAAAGATAAGTTATCATATTTATTACAAACTGGGAGCAATTAGAAGGAGATTCACGCAAATAAGATTCCATGTAGGAAGGTGAAGCTAGCAGCCAGAAATGGATCAGATGTAAATAAAGGCCATCACGTTAAGGGTTTCCTTTGCATTCTGAAAGTAATTATCAAGAAAACCAGTAAGATGTTGTTCCTCTACATAGTAAACCAGTACCCTCCGTCTAGAAAAGCTATATATCCACTTTTTGGACTAAAAATGGAAGACGAGCAACGTAGTTTTACCAAATAAAAAACAGTCGGAAATCCTGGCTAAACACAGTGACCAAAAGCACAAAGCTTCAAATTAACTAAAGTCAGATGGAGGACAAATAAACCGATGGAAGAAACACAGGATAATAAGCAGGGAATTACCAGATTAATGACCACGTTCTATATGCTTCACAAAAACAGAACCTAAGTCAGTCACCACTCACCAATACTAATTCAATTCAATCGCGAACAAAATCCACCGAGAGACGCAAAGAAAACCTATCAGAAATCAGAATACTAAAGCGTAAAACAATCAGAAGCTCATATTTCACAGACAACAACAAGTTAAAACAATAGAAACAGTTCCTGAATTATCAACAGAAAAGAACCAGAAGTAACCGAATTTGAAAGTAATTTGCTAATTGAAACTCAGGATAACGAACTTTCAATCACTACCGCAACAGAAAGAAATTCGCGAAACAAATCCTGCTTCCGTTCGACGGCTGTGCTATCTTCAGTAAGAATAGATGGAGAGAAATCTGAAAACTTGATTGATTTGAGGAAATCAGGAAAGTAGAGGGCTTTTATAAGTTGAGGGAATCGGTCTCTGGAGACTTCCGAAACGTTCAATATTGGCTTTGGTGATGGTGATTATCTTGAATATCGGCTTCTATCTTATCAACTGAAAATATCTTCAACAGCTTTTTCCAAAATCTATATAAAAGTATTGTTAACGATGGGTTAATAGCATCCAACTACCTAACATAGATTTTATAATCATTATATTTTTATTGTAGATGTAGACATAGTTGTTTGTTTTGAATATGTAAAATATCTATAGACTTTTTAATGAATGTAGAAAAAAACGTCGATCAGAAATCTATGGTTATATAAAAATTGTTTTTTTTTTAAAGGGAAAATGACCTAAAAATAATAAAGGAAAGCTTTTTGAACACTCGCAAGATTGAGATAATGTTCAACGTATTCTTCTTCACATGGATCTACTCCACC